AATTTCGGAAAAATCTGCCTATGTGTGTATTTGGGTTCTTGTGAGGCAACCAGTAAAATTGAAGAGTGTTGCTCATCAGATTTATCCATTCTGCCCTTATCTGAAAATTGTTAACTCCAAAATCTGGGTACACAATATTGGAGCGCGCAGGTGCAGCAATAGGTGTCCAAAACATGGAAACAGGTAAGTCTCCTTCATTTATTTCCTTTCGCTCTTCTTGCTGATATGGTGGTGCAGCTGTTCTCACGGCGGCTTGTCCAACTGGCTGAATTTGAATCGAAACATGCTGATCATATGTCATTTGATGTTGCTGTTTTTGTTTGTGTTTTTTGCGTCTTTGTTTGAAAGTGCATTCTATCTCCGAGTCAAATAGTTCAAGCTCATCATCTTCGGCACGGAGCATGCAGCGAACACTTTTTCTGTAATAAAAAGAAATTAAACAAAATCAAATAACAGTTAAGACTAAAAGTAAATAGTCCCCGACAACGGTGCCAAAAACTTGTTACGTTTTTTATATCGCAAGTGCACGATATCGTAACAAGTAATATAGTGGACCTTTGAGTCCGGATTATCGTTCCCACAAGGACTATACTTTAGTCTTAATCTCCATTTCCTAACTCCTATTTGATAAAAGATAAACAAATAAAGAACTTTGAGTGTTGTGAGAATAGATTTTCCTAAATAAACTAAATGCCTAAAACTATCGAAATTGAAAGCAAGGGAAATTATGATGAATGACAAACACAATGGATCGAAGTTTCACGTATGTAGAGTGTATTAGGGCAAAACAATTTCACTTATTGATCACCTTAGTTCCCGATTCAAGATTCTAGCCTAATGTAGTGTTCGATCGAATTCTCCTACGGTATTCAACTTACCCCTCTCAAGTTCTCATTGAGCCTATTTAACTAATTCAATTCCATATCTCTGTGCGATTACCCTTAATTAAACGAGTTAAAGCACTAGAAATTTATATAACGACCGCAGTACTTAGTATAAGTATCTCTATACATTATACATCGTTACCGG